CCTACCATTGCCTCCCCCTCCCCCACCCCACGCCGGCCGGCCGGGGGACTCCCTTCCTCGTCCGTGCGGCAAACAATGTAACAGTCGCTGCGAGCGGCTCCTTTGCCAAAGCAAAACAATTACTGACAGCCGTGACATCGGAAAAAATAATTAAAACATGATTAAAACATATGTACAACAATACATTACTTTTAAAAACATACAAAACGGCTGAGCACCGTTGAATACATAAACGTGAAAAAGAATTACAGCATCATTACAATAGAACTCGACGAAGAGGTGAGTCCGGAGACGTTTTATCAGCATCCTGTTTGTACTTGAGGTATGCGCTAGAAGTGCAGGTTGTGTTCTTCGGTGGACGTGCCGCGCTAATACTTGTCCAATACTTAATCCTTGTCGAAGACACCGTCCCAAAAGCTGACTCTCTCTTCCCACAGGGGCGCCCGCGGCACGCCGAGGGAGACACCAATGTCTAGGTAGGGCTCGATGGGCGCCTTGACGTCCGACGTGGCGGGCAGCGGCTTCCAATCGACGCCCTCCACGTCCGGGTCGGAAGGAGGGGCAGGAACCCTGTGGATCAACCGCCTACATCAGCTGGGCGCTCTTCTAGGCGAGCCGCGCGTAGCGGCCGGCCCTCCCCCACGGAGACGACAGACAACATGGTATACTCACCCCGTGCGCGCGAAGTTGGTCCACAAGGCCGTGAGTCTCCTCCTGGTGGTCGCCTCCAGGCTGTGGGGCTCCCACTCGGGTTCTGGGGGCAGCGGGGCCCGCCTACCCCAAAGGTAGCCGTTCTCGTCGCCGTGGCATGCACCTGCTGCGTCGTGGAAAACGAAAGTGCAAGTGAGGACTGGGGACCAGATGGCGGTGGCGCGCGGTGCAGGGCAGAGCCCCCCCCCCCCTCTTTTCCACTCCCCAAATGTTTGCACCCCTAAAACATTCCAGCCCTCACCTGTGGCCTTCAGCTCCGGCCAGCTTCTCATGAGGAAGGCCGTGAGGATGTTGTTTCCGCCCACGACGCTGAACAGGTAGAAGTACACGGGCGCCGCGTTGGGATGCGCGGCGTGCATGCGGGCCGCCTGCGTGACGCCGGCGGTGAACAGGAGGTCGGTGTAGAGCTGCGCGAGCGGGCGAGTGAGACGATGAGGAGAGAGCAATGTGGACCAGCTACTTCAACTTTCAAAGAAATAAATTTGCCGCTTACATTGAAATAGCCGGGCAGCTCCACCTTCCCGCCCTTGAAGTACAGCTTCCTGATGCCCTCCGCCACGGCCTTGCTCTCCGGCGAGCCCTTCTGCAGCTCCAGCTCCGCGGGGACCACCCGCTCCAGGTCGTCCTCCACGACGTCTAGCCTACGACAGGTGATGCCTAGGGCAACAAGACTATATTCAGTCTCAACCGCTCGAGCAGGTGGAAACCACCCCTACGCCATGCACAGCTGTTCCAACCAAATGCGATGCTTGCCCAAAGAAATGGTCCACTCACGTTCAATCACGGTATATACGTGTTCCCAAAATGAACGAAGCAAGCCTCGTGCATATCCCAACCGTGCTGTGCATGGCTCTTTACCTCCCCTACCTGCCCCGTTTTGATCGTCCATGACGGTGAGCAGGCCCTCGCAGTCCGTGAGCCCCACGATCCAGGGCACGGGGAAGAAGCGCTGGGAGGCGAGCAGCTTCCGGGGCTCGTCCGGGAGGAACGCCTCTTCGCCGTCGTCCGACTCGACCCCCGCCTCGGACACGGGTAGGAAGGGGAACAGAAGCCCCTTCGGGCCCTCCTTCTCCGGGTCCACGACGTCGAAGCTTTTGTCCAGGATATCCATGGTGGGCGCGGCCTGCAGGAAGGCGATCAGCTCGTCCTCGTCCTCGGTGCGGCAGCCCAGCGCCTCGCCCAGGCGGAAGGCCCTGGCCCGCGCCTCGTCGGGGGGCAGCACGCCGGCCCACTGGTTGGTGGCGGAGCCGCTCTGCGAGATGGCGCGGTGGAACAACCCCCGCGCGGACGGCGCCAGCATCAGGTACTCGACGAGGGCGCTGCCCGCGGAGCAGCCGAACACGGTGACGCGGCCGGGGTCGCCGCCGAACACGGCGATGTTGTCCCGCACCCAGCGCAGCGAGGCCACGCCGTCCTTGAGCCCGGCGTTGCCCGGCAGCTTGGGCGAGCGCAGCGAGAGGAAGCCGAACGCGCCCAGGCGGTAGGTGACGGTGACGACCACCACGCCCCTGGCCACCAGGTGCTCGGGGGCGAACTGGGACATTCTTGCCGTGCCGTTGGTGAAGCCGCCGGGATGGAACCAGACCATGACCGGCCAGGGTGCGCCCTCCACGGGGTGGCGCACGGAGGACGGGACCTGTGGACGAAGGGCGGTAGAGGTGGTAGCGGGCGGGTGCAAGCAGGCTGGCTAGCGGGATAGTAGGACACGCCGGTCGGCACCCACCTGCGGTGAGTAGACGTTGAGGTACAGGCAGTCGTCAGAGCCGACATTCTTCTGCGTTATGAAGGTGTCGAACTGTGGGGAGTCTGCGCGATGGTCCAGCGCCGGGAGCGCGCCCTCCCACGGCTCGGGTGGCTGCGGCGCCTGCGGAGGACATCAAAGGCACACGGTAAATACACATCTAGTCCGCGAATCAACCAAAGAATGACCTACTGCCTGGGGTCCGTCCTGGCGTAGGTGGCGTGGCGGAACCAATTGGGGTCCTCGCAACCGAAGCGACGCCGCGTTCGCCCGGCTTTGGTCATTCCCTTCGCATTCCATTCGCACGCTGGGCCGGTGCCCCCCCCCCCCCCCCCTCTTGTCACTCGACCCTCCGGTCTCCCGTCCGCCTGGCGCGCACCACTACAGAGCGACACTTGTGTGGAGTGGTGGTAATAAAAGTTTTTAGTTCCGTCGTCAGTGACGCCCCCTCCCCTCTCTGTCTGTCCGCCCGTCTGTCTGTCGGTCTCCCTCCCCCTCAGCCAACCGACCGCCGTCGTATAGGCAACCCATCCTACACCGCGCCAGGAACGGCTGCCCAGGGAGACGGGGCGATCGCAACCGCTGGTATGCGTAAAAGAAGTAGAGAAGACATAAACGCCACACTCAGCAGCGTGCTAATCATACTGAACTTGCCTTGAACCTGAGCTCCTTCACAGGCGGCTTGGCGTACGGCACGCCTAGAAAGGCGTCGAACTGGGGCACATTCTTGTGCGGCGGGGTGAGGCGCTGGCCCCGTAGCAGCCCCTGCTTCGTCTGCACCTCCACGAGCTGCATCTGGAATGGGAACGATCGAGCATCAACTGTGGGTGCATTATGTACAAGTAATATTACACGCACTGCATTCTAAGTGGAAAGGGACCATTTTTGTCGATTGAAAGATGCATCTGTGTACACATCTTGCAAGATTTAATTTTAAATCCTGAGTAGTGACAAATTTTTAACTTTAGTTTGACAAAATAAAAATTTGTCCAGCACGAGATACAAATTTGCGCAAATTTGTTACCAGTCAGGATTCAAAAATGCATCTCGCAAGATGTGCACACATATATGCATTTTGCAATGGACAAAAAAATGATCTCTCGCCATTTAGATTGTTGCCCTGGCATGCACTATAGTGCGACCGAACTAGGAAAGAGCCTGGCTGGTCTGGCTTATGGGAGCAGTTCTTAACTACTGCCTCCTCAGCTACCGCCGCAACTCATTGACCTGCTCGGGTCCCGCCCACCCTCGGACCCCCGGTAAGCCTGGACCACAAAATTATTCTTTTTCGGTGACACACCGTAGGAAAGAGCACATCCTAGAGAACACTTGTGGTGAACATCACTACATATCACTCACCTGGCTCGGCGCGTAACCGCCTGACCACCGCACGAGCGCCGCCAAGCATCTGGACCCCCAATCCCAATCAGGCCGAAATCTTTGACCGCGAGGTCCGAGCAGGACGTTCGTGTTTGCAAAGAGTTTCTTCATTATGTTATGCTATTCCAAATTTCACACCGTTCCAAAGAAAAAAAAACCGTGAGCTGGACCCCGATTTTGGCCCAGGCTACCCTCGGTAGCAGGCCTATGCGAGCTACCGTTGCACCAACACTGAGCTCTGCCAGGCTCTTTCCTACTTTGGTCGCACTAAAATACGCGCCTCGCGCCGCTGCATCGCATCAAATAAGCCATAAAGTCCTAGAGACGAAAGATGATAATGAGAATACAGTTTTCTGGGTGGTGCTTGTGCACGCCGGTATGCACGATTGTGACCTTGAATTGCAATGCGCGCCCAGTAGTCCATGTCCAGTCGCAGCTGATCGGCATAGCGTAAGTTTTTCTCGCTTTATTTTTATTTTTAACCAAAGTAAACTATCTTGATGTCTCAAGAGATACGCTGTGTTGGTGGAAGGTAAATGTGCTCTGTATCAGATTGCCTTATCACGGGTCTTGCGGCACTGTCATAAAATGAAGGTATAAAACGTTGTTTTGAGTTTGACTCCTTTACATTTTCTGGGCCTCGGCCATCCCATCAGCCATGCAGAGTCTCCTAATCTGATTTAAAGGCTCCAAGTTCTTTCCAAGGTCAAGCAACGCCCATGCGAGGTTGTGAAGTGAAGATAGCCGGCTGAACAGCCGCGCCCACCTAAGGTCGCTGCACACGGTAACAGATGGACAGGAAAAAAGTGCAGTAAATAGCCCAGGTGAAAAATGAGACATGCATGGCATTACGGCAGCTGTAACTCGTTATCAGAGCAAGTGGTACAGACCTCATCAATAGTCATGCAGAAAACAGATTCCAGCAAAAAATGAACAGTTTTGAAATCTGAATACACATGGTAGCTAGTACCGAACTGAAAATAGCTTATCAACTGAAGTTGAGACTGTGTACAGCTGTCGCTACTCGTCGTAGTTTTAACACGATTTAATCCAACATGTACGAATGCACGAAAAAGATCATCGGAACGAAGGAACTCAAATGCCGGTAGCTTTTTTCACGGCATTTTATTTCACTCATTTACGGACACAGCAATACTTGAGCAGAACGATTTCAATAGTACGCTGACGTTTCCTAATAACACTCATAAATAAATTAGGAAAACGAAAAGGGGGGGGGGGAGTAAGAGAGGAGGGGGTATATTGACGTGAAGGTGACAGTACATAATATGCTTCTGCTCAGAGGCTGGGCGGGGCCGGTTGCACCTTGTCCCAGCTGGTCCCAGCGTGAGCCGAGGACCGTCGTGAAGATCCTCACCTTGGAAGTGCTCCGCACTGTTCGGAACTGTTCGGTGGCACGGCGCGCTTTCCACTCCCTGCCTTAAACTTTTAGAGGTTAGGTCTTCTCCTCTTGCCACTTCCAAAAGCCATAGGCTGCTGGCGGCTGGCTCGGGGAAAACAAACTGGCAGGGGACGGGCCAGGAGGGGGAATGAAGTGGCAGGGGGGAG